CTTCTAGTGCGTGTATCTTTAGGGTCAGTGGTACCCATTCTCCTTGTCTCTTCAGCGCAGAGGAGGGGGCGATGCAGAGTACTCATGAGGGAGGGACAACACCAAGGGAACAGAACTCGCCACGAACACCTGTGCGGAAATACAGGGGAGTGAGGCAGAGGGGTCCTGGAAAATGGGTGGCGGAGATAGAAGATGCAGCCCGGAACATTCGCCGGTGGCTCGGAACGTTCTCCTCGCCCGAAGCTGCTGCCCGAGCCTTTGACAAAGCTGCCCGGGAGCTGCGGGGGCCTAATGCAAAGACGAATTTTCCGCTGCCAGGCGTGCCAGATTCGGCAGCCACTCAGCAAAAACAAGAAAGAGTGATTGAAGGCTCAGGTGTTGAGTTGGACATGGGGGGTTGGTTGCACTGCAGACCGGAAACGCCACTAGAGACGCTGCAGATTTCCCTTCCTGGAGTCTCAGCAGCAGTTTTCGAGGCACCTCAGAAAGCGCAAATGCAACTGAAGACCGTGCAGGTTCCTCTCCCTTCGTACAGCCCTGTGGATATCGTCTCGCAGCGGCGTAACTCTGCTGGTTGGTCCAGGCCTCGGATGGCTGAGAGGGTTGCAGCTGCAGCTGAGTCACCTCTCTCGCATCCAGTTGAAAGGCCGCGTGGCCCTATCAAATGTGAAATTGCCAGAGGTGAGTCGATGAGTCATGGCGCATGGGTGGTGACACCCCGCTTATCTGAGGAAACAGAAGAGCAGCAGCAACCTGATGGCCAGCAAGAGATGCAGCAAGCAAAGCGATTGCCTCAGGAGGGTAACTTGAACAGGAGAGGAGATCCCGGGCAGAAAACAAAGGGAGCAGTGGAAAAGGCTCGGAGTGCTATGAGTGAAACTCCGCATCGCAATCCTGTGGCGATTTCCCCTGCTCCGGCCGTTCACACCCCTCAACCGCGCTCCACCATTGCAAATCTCCTGGCAACAATGGTTCATGATAGGGTGGTACAGGATATAGGTGAAAAGGGTGGTGATACTGCTGCGGAGGAGAAAAGTGAGGGTAGTTCCCCCTTGTGGGTGACCGATGAGAGTGTACTGCTGAAGGAGGGAAGGGATGCTTGGGATTGGCCAGCATTACCATTAGGATATTGTGAAAACAGTGATGGTTGTGATGAAACGCACTAGAGGATGGTAACGATTATTCCTTTTTTTCCTGTGCGCGTGACGGTAATGAGGCATGACTGCTGAACATGCCTTATGGTTTGTTCTATACAGAGCCTTTGCAATGTCTGTCCTAATATAAAAACGGGGGGAGAGCGTGTTTAGAAACACTATTTCAAACTTATCAATACCTGATTATGGTCTGGGCTTCGAAAAAACACCGCTTGTGTCTAACTTCGCATGGCTTACAAGCGGGAAATGTGACGGGACGAGTGTTTGTTGTATTGAATTGGTTGTATGTACACACTGTAAGAAATTTACAGTTTTGACAAATCCTAGAGGGAAATTGCTGTACTGAGATACCTGCAGGGATTAAAATGAAAAGTACACGTCATAAGCAGTTTTACATTATTATATGAGTGCATCCCTCCCCTTCCCTTACCCTGTAATTCCCTCTCTTTGTTTCGGGTACTTCTGAGAATTTCCGTCCTTTTGAATCTGTAGCACATAGCACAGTACCACTTATCTAGTTTTGTGGATCCTTGCTATACGACGATTGGGAAAGTTAGATGACGAGCAATGTAGGGACTTGGATTATAATAAATGTAGCAAGGCAATGTTATGGATTAAGGATGTGAGGATACCTGGTTGACTGACGGATGTTGAAGGAGCTATGTCGGTCGACAAGAATATAAAAGTGTTGCACTTTCTACTACAAGATGCCCAGAAATAGAACACATACGAATGAATATATCTATTGGAATCAGCATGCAGATTAAAATAATGCTTCCTTCCTTCAAACTCAATAAAGGGTTTTCAATCTGTTGATTCCGTGTTTCTTCCACCCCACCAGCCTCTTTGGCAGTCTGCTTTCACTGTTTCGTGAACAATGACGGTACACCCTTATTCTCGGCCTATGCACAATTAGGAGCCTTGGCTACAGTGCGTACTGTTGCTTGGACCCTAGCGATCTGGTGCTTGGATCCGAACCCTAGGTGGGTGGCGGGCAAATGCACATAGAGAACGGTATACAGCGGTAAATAAAAGCAAAAGTATTTGTTCCTACGGTTTAGTGCGGCAAATGTGCTTACATGGTATGTTCGTGGACCATCTTGGACGAATTGATGTCATTGTGGCCGGTATGTTCTTGTGGCGTTTGTCAGTGTGGCGAGAATGAGGGTGTACCTGCACCCCTCTCGACATACAAGCCACAACGACCCTTCACATCTGTTCTGGACACACTCCAACTCGCACCTCGGGTTCTTGCAAGCATTCATTCGGTCCTGAGATCCATCCTTCCAGGAAGTGATGTGGAATATTGTACAGCTGGATGTGTACAGTATTGTAGTGTAGCACCACTGGCGGCACGTTGGTTGGCATTGATCGTCCGTGTACACTTGCTTACACAATCCGTGTCAATGTTGACGAGAGTCGTACCACCGTTCGCTTGGATGCGGACGGAGAGTTGACCCGCTGGTGAGTACAAATTCAGCTGAGAAGAAACTCCACACACCAAGAGGGGCTTCTCTCATTCGCCATAGGATTTGTGACGCAATCATGACGTCACCTCACAGCCAATCAGAAAGGCGACGAAGCTTCCTCTTAATTGTTCATTGAACACGTGGGATTTCCTTCTCCAATAAGAGAGGGAATCACTGACTCCCCGTCACAGATGACCCGTACCTCATTTCCCGCGTTTCTTCTTCACTCGGCAATGGTGATGTTTGAAACGCAGCAACTTCTGGTAGATATACAGGCCCAACAAATTTGCCATACAATATGCCCCCTTATTTGGGCGGTGTGCGAGAAGCACTGTAACGCGAGCATTGCGCGACTCGCAGCAAGAAAGGACGCTCTTATGTTCTTCAAAGCGCAATCTAGTCTCACACCGCAACCTCCTCACATTTCCCATTAATGGTAGATTTTGCTTCCACTTGAATCAAAGTGGAATCTACGTCTCATTCTGACCGCTGTTTTCCACTTGAATCATCGTGAGGCACGCTGGCTGGTTGCGTTTTAATAAAAGCCCACGCTTCCGAAGCGTCTAAAAATCATAGCACACCGGACAGTTGACAAAAACGTAAACCGTTCTCTAGCGTCAGGCGCAGGACGGAATTCAAGCGGCACCATTGCACAGACGAAAATACAGCAACAATTCCGAAGTGTCCATTAGGCGCATTGATCGTTCTCGTCTTCACGAAGCTGCTAGGGGTAGTACCCTGTGTTCATTCACATCGGGAATGTCGCTCCATGTCCCCTCTCCTCATTTTCAAAAGCTTCGACACACTGCCATATCGAGACCGTAGCGAGCGGCGAAATCCAGAAGAATCACCAATGGAGTCCTTTTCTCATCCAGCGAAAGGCGGCGAACATTCCGGCGAGGTATCTTCCTCCGCCCAGGCGAATTTCACTTCTGTGAGGCTAGGAGAAATCAGTAATGCGGGTGTGCAGAACGGATCTGATTTAAATTCAGGAAACGTGGCTCTCCAACAAGCCTCGTTCGTCGCGCTCGCGAATCTTCTTACGCTTCTGGAGGAACGGCTGAGGGAAGCCGGCGGAAACCGTCAGCTTGACGTCCAGCCTTCTGCCGCTCCACCTCAAGCCGCTTACAGTATGCCTGTTGAGGCTTCAAGTCGTGGCAACAGCCCAGATTCCAGCTTCATGTCTGCTCCTGCACTCAGAGGTCCCGGGCTCGATTCCTGCCGCCAGGCTGATAGCGGAGTTTTCAACAAACAGGTCCGGTCACTCTCCTGTCCCATCATCATTCCAGGGATCGACTCAGTCACCACTTTTGGCGGCGATGGGCAAGTTTCAGGGCATATTTTAGGGTACCGCAGTCAGATTCATGGACAGGAACTTGAAACGGAGGTACTACCCCATCCTGCCAACGTGGCAAGAACTCTGACACCATCACTGCCACCTGTCACCATTACAACTCAGGATCCAATCCAGTTCGCAGTGGACTGGCCGCAGGAGAAATGCAGGCGTACTCGACGGCGCAGGTCGTTTGGAAGCGGTTCTAAGGCACCTGCTATCACTCCTAGTCGTAGATCTCCTATTACGCAATCCCAGGGAACTGAAAGGAGAGCGCAAGCAGCAGCGGCAGCAGGAGCAGCAGCAGAAACAGCAGCGGAAGCAGGAGCAGCCTCCGCAACAGCAGCGACAGCAGGAGCAGCCTCCGCAACAGCAGCGGCAGCAGGAGCAGCCTCCGCAACAGCAGCGGCAGCAGGAGCAGCCGCAGCAACAGCAGCAGAGGAGGAACAGACTGCATTGCAGCAGAAACCACAAGACCAGCAAACCCAGCAACAGCAGCAGCAGAAGCCGCAACAACAACAGCCCCAGCAGCAGCACCGCCAGCAGCAGCAACAGCAGCAGCAGCCTCAGCAGCAGCAACGGCAGCGGAAGCAGCAGAGGTCCCCACCGCCCTCTAGTACCCCTTCGCCCAAGTACCGGGGAGTGAGGAAGAGGCAGTCAGGCCATTGGGTGGCAGAAATAGAGGACACAGCCAACAACATCCGCAAGTGGCTCGGAACATTTTCCTCTGCCGAAGCTGCCGCCCGTGCTTTTGATCAGGCTGCCCGAGACCTCCGCGGGCCCCGGGCAAAGACGAATTTTCCTCTGCCCGAGGAGCCGGCGGGCAGTAGCGGGGAGAGAGATTACGACAGGGAGAGGGTTGTGAGAAAAAGGTCCCAAAAGCGAAGTGTGGGTGTAGGTAGAGGATTTCATTCTGCTGATGGTGATGGGGATGGGACCTGTAATGGAGATGTGGGTGGGATGTGTCATGGTGGTGAGGGTGGTGAAGGATTTTCAAGTCCTAGGAAGAATGCACCCGCATGGGAAGGGACTTGTAGCGTCGGCATGAGTGAAGGAGCAGTATCGAATGGGCTGTCAGGGTCCGGAGGGAGTGTTAACGAGGAGCAGGACAAGGAAGGTGGGGAGGAGGATAGAGAGGAGGCTGGGGAGGAGAGTGGGGAGGGGAGTGCAGAGGGGAGTGGGGAGGAGGATGATGGAGGGGAGGATGGAAGGGAGGATGAGGATCAGTATGCACGTGGAGGCTTCATGGATTTGGATACAAGTGAATGCGCAAGCGCAAGTGCAAATGCAGGGAACACAAGTTCGATGGCTCTGGACTCAAGCCAGAGTGCATGTGCGGCTGCAAGCAACACAAGCTTCATGGCTCTAGATTCAAGCAAAAGTGCAAGTGCAAACGCACGGACCACATGCCTGATGGCTCTGGACTCAAGCCAAAGTGTATCCACAGCTGCAGGTGGGCTGAGCCGAGTGGCATGGGTATGTGCATTTGCCGCCCAGCCATCTTATCCTTCTTCTGCCAGTTGTGAGAGCACAGTTCTTCCTGGCTCCACACTTCCTGCCCCTGAAGTTCCGGTAATTGAATATGGAAAGTGTTTGCTGCAAGAGGAGGAATCGGTGATGGGAGGAGCAGGAGATTTGGCAACATTGACCGGAGATCCTCCAGGTGCTCCAGCGTTGACCAGAATGGCAGATGGAGAGTGTTTGCAGCTTGGGGACTTTTCGGAAGTGGCACCGGTAGCGGGAGGATCAGATAACCTGGCAGAGCGTATCAGAAATTCCCCTGATGCGCCAGAGAGCACAGAGAACGAGCGTTTGCTGCCCAGGGATGGGCTGGGAGTGGGACCAGCCGCGGGAGGAGCAGGTAACCTGGCAGAGCTGATCGCAGATGTTTTTGAGTTTCCGGATAGCTTCCCGAATGGCTCTTTGAACTGTCAACCCAAGAGGATTATGCTGCTACGTCCAGAAGACTATGGGTGTGGTGAGGACAGGAAGATGGTAGGGGAGAACGGGGAGGAAGGGGAGAATGCGAGGCAGGGAGGAGGGGAAGTGGTGCAAGGGGATGCAGAGGAGTGGGATACGGTGCTGAGCCACATGCAGGAGGTTGCTGCTGCTGCTGCCTCTGTTGAGTCGGACAATGTTGGGCTGGACACTTGGATTCTGGGGGATAGAGTGGTCCTTGATGGGTTGACACTACAGGGTGTGACTGTAGAGAGGGCGTGACTAGAGAGTGTGGCTCCAGATTGTGTGACTGTGGAGGGTGCGGTTTCGAAGTGTGTCACTGTAGAGGGTGTGACAGCAGCAGGTGATGCGGAGGAGATTTAGCATAGGAGCACACCAGCAATTGTGGCTGATCTTCGCCATTTTTTTTCCCCTACAGTAGTGATGCTGTGTGGCATTTGTATTTGCTCCGCTATGTCCTTTTCCTACATGGGATCTCGTTTTTATAATACCTCCCCCCCTCCCCCTAGAGACAAAATCAAGAAACAACCCCCTGCAGAAAAAAAAAGTTGGCTATTTGCCATGAAATTTGGAAGCTTGACATTACCAACTGCAAGTGGTTGGAACAGGGCCTGAGATTCAATTTTGGGTGCCCTGATCAATCAAGGCCCCCCTGTGCAAAAACCCTGATTGACAGTGTTCTAAAAAAAAAAGCCTGAAAGATCAGTGTTGCCTTAGAAAAAAACCTGATGCATCAGTGTTCCATATATATATATTAAAAAAAAAGGCTGTTATCAGTGTGCCAAGTCTCCATTTTAAATACGAAGTCAATAGCAGCCTTTTAAAACATCTCATCAGTGCTTGCCAGCATGGCTCAGACCTAACGTGCCGCAGCTTCAACCAACGGTGCAAGAAGCCTCGCAGCCTTCCAGCACCACTTTGTTGCCACTATGTCATTGGCCTGTCAGAAATAGAACGTAGGAATGATTGACTAGTAGGGAAGAGTGACTACAAGTAGTAGGAATGACATAAGGTGTTGTACTCCTTAGAGTATGCCCCACTATAGCCTAAAGATAACAAATGAAATTTGACACACCCCCACAGGCAAAGTGGGGGATAGCAAACACAACGGACGGTCACAAGACCAGTCAAGCAACAGAACAAAACAAACCAAAGCTCAGGGTGGATCTCAAGATCACCACGCAGTCTGAGCACAAACAAGCGGCCACAAGGCCTGTTCACATGCAGAGTTATAAAAGTAAGTAGTACAGTGATCACAACCTAACAAGAGCAAGCATGCAGGTATACATATAAATATATATGTATATATCACAGTACAAGACAAAGTCAGGCAACCAGCAGGTGAGGCAGAGTAGGCACAAGGCCTAGAGCAGTGCATAAATGCTGATGATCACCAGGCACAAGGGCCTTGGTGAAGACATCGGCAGTGTTGGCCCGAGAGGCCACGTCAGCAAGGCGCAGCTGATCACGTTGTTGCAGCTCTCGAGCAAGAAAGTAACGAAGAGCAATGTGCTTCGTTATGTGCTCCAGTCTCTGCTCCTGACACAAAGGCAATCGTGGCCTTGTTGTCAACGTACAGAACTGGAGGAGAACGAGGCCGTTCGCCCAAGTCGGTCAGTATGTAGATCAGCCAGCGTAACTCCTGTGCAGCCATGACCCCAGCATAGATCTCGGCCTCACAGCTGGAACCATGCACAGAAGACGAACGAGTGGACCTCCACGAGACAGAACCAGAGCCGAGACTGAAGAGTAACCCTGTGACGACCGCTGAGTCGCCTGGTCATCGGCCCAAGAAGCGTCCGAGTGTCCTGTGAGTACCACTGAAGCCCTACCTCCAAGCACGAGCTCCATGCCCGATGTACTACACTAGTAACGCAATACCCTCTGCGCAACTGTCCAGTGATCCTTCCTGTGTCGCCCGGGCACGACGAAGCGAGCAAGGATGCTGAGAGGGTACGCGAGGCCAGGTCGTGTGTACGTCATCAGGTACATGAGGCAGCCCACAAGCTTTGTACACGGGCCACTCGGCTCTACAGACTCGTCTGAAGGTGGAGCTGAGAGCGAGCGGCCTGTAGGCAGAGGAGTGCGCTGAGGCGAGGAGAACTGAAAGCCGAAGCGCTGAAGGACCTGGTGCACCATGTGTGCAAGCCAAGATAGCTACGCAGCTCACCCAGGTCAGTGCAAGTGTGTCTCTTCTACAGCTCCGCCTTCACAAGGGTCAGTGCCTCAGTGTCGGCAGTAGCAAAGACCAAGTCATCGACATACACGAGGATGTAGAACGGCGGCAGAGTAGGGTCGGTGCGCAGAAACAGCGACGGGTTAGTAGTCAAAAGAGCAAACCCAAGAGCCGCAAGCGTCGTCCTCAGTGTGTCGTGCCACTCGCGGGGTGCCTGGCGGAGACCATAGACCGGCCGTCGGAGGCTCCACTGGGTACCCTCAGGAAACGACCTAGTGAAGCCAGGTGGGCGGCGTAGCCAGATCTCCTCGTGAAGGCTGCCCTGCAAGAAAGCTGTGGAGAAGTCGAGGGAGTGCAGCTCGTAGTCACGCTGTGCTGCAACATGCAATAACACCCGAAGAGTAATCATCTTCGGGGTGGGGGAGAAGGTCTGGAAGAAGTCGGTCCCTGTCGCTGACTGAAACCTCGAGCAACGTAACACGCCTTGAAGGCAGAAGGAGAACCCGGCGGCCGCTTCACTATGAAAATCGATATGCCATCGACTATGTTCGCCCCAGGAAGGGGAAACTCGCCGATGTAGGTGCCTGCGGATTTCCAGGAAGCCATCTCTGCGTCCATGGCTGTCTGCCACTGAGAGGAGTACTCACCCGTGATCGCCTCTACGTTAGAGCGCGGGGTGGGGATGTCTAGTGCATCCAAGTCTCCCTCAGGGCAAAGCAGCATGGACTCGAAATTGGGTAAAGAGGCCGCGAGACACTCAAGCTCAAACTGCCTGTCCTCAAGGACGTCACTTCTAAGGGAAAGTAAACCCTAGACGGACAGAGGACAGACAGACTCAGAATCAGTAACAAGACTCGCAACGTAGTCGAGACGACAGGTAGCAGCAAAGTCGACTAACTCAGTGACTAGGGCAGACGCAGTAGTAGACTCAAAGGAAGGGCCAGAGACGACAGTGGCAAGGAGACGAGTGATAGTAGGACTAGTAGCACGAGCACGGTCGGACTCAGGGTTGGGAATGTCAAGAAGAGAGGATGCCAGAGGAGACGACAGGGCAACACGCTGTGGAACAGAGGAAGGACAAAGTGCCATCGTGTGCATGCCGGGGATAGGTGGAGGACGAGGACGACGAGCATGACTGACAGTGTGAACAGGGTAGGTAGGATGAGACTCAGGCTCACGACACTCTGCCAGGGAGCCTATCTGCGCAGGGTAAGGAGAAGGAGCAGGCAGTGGGGAGTCAGGCAGTAACGGTGACTGTGACTGGTCAGGCGGAGGACAGAGGAGAGGTGGAGTAAGGTTAGTGGAAGACGGAAGACTAAGAACCTGACGAAGAGCCGAGTCAGGCGGTGGCAGGGACGACTGCAGCTGCGGGTAGAAAAACGGTCGGCGTGGAGCAGTACCCGTACCGCCAGCAGCTCCAGCACCTCCAGTACCACCAGCTCCAGCACCTCAAGTACCTCCAGCTCCAGCACCTGCAGTTCCAGTACCTCCAGCACCACCAGCTCTATCACCTCCAGTTTCAGCATCTCTAGTACATCTAGTACCTCCAGCACCAGCACCTCCAGCACTAGCAGCTCCAGTACCTCCAGCACCTCCAGCTCTAGCACCTCCAGCACTAGCACCTCCAGCAGCAGCAGCTCCAGTACCTCCAGCACCTCCAGCTCTAACACCTCCAGCACCAGCAGCTCCAGTACATGCAGTACCTCTAGCTCTAGCATCTCCAGCACCAGTAGCTCCAGTACCTCCAGCTCTAGCACCTCCAGCACCAGCAGCTCCATTACATCTAGTACTTCCAGCTCTAGCACCTCCAGCACCAGTAGCTCCAGTACCTCCAATACCTCCAGCTCTAGCACCTCCAGCACCAGCAGCTCCAGTACCTCCAGCACAAGTAGCTCTAGTACCTCCAGCACCAGGACCTCCACCACCAGCAGCTCCAGTACCTCCAGCACCAGCAGCTCCAGTACCTCCAGTACCTCCAGCACCAGCATCTTCGGCACCAGTAGCTCCAGTACCTCCAGCACCTTTAGCTCTAGCACCTCCAGCAGGAGCACCCACGACTCCACCACAACTAGGACTCACAGCACCCCCATTCTCAGCACCCCTAGAACCGGCACCCCCAGAACCAGCACCCCTAGACTCAGCACCCCTAGACTCAGCAACCTCAGGACCAGCACCTCCAGAGTCTGCACCCTCGGTGTCTCCACCCCCAGCAGCACCAGAGTCCACAGCGACACGCTGCGGAGGCGGCGAAGACGGCCAAGGCGAGAAACCAGGAGGGGTCTCCAAGCGCGGGAGCGGCGAGTAGTCGCCGTGTCGTCAGCAGCAGGGTCACCCCCCTCAGTTGGGCCAGAGGTGTCAGAGGAGACCTCCAAAGGCTCAACCAAGGGGGGTGGGTCGACTTGAGATACACCTGAGGGAGCAGGACCCTATGGGGAGAGGGGGTCTACTAGGGGGGGACCTGGGACCAGGAAGAGGGGTGGCGGATAGAGTGGGGAAGACACGTGCAGGTGGAGACGGTAGAAGCAGACTGACTCATCAAAGGTGACGTCCTGTGAGGCCAAGATGCGACGCGAGGCAGGGTGGTAAAACTGCCAGGGTGGGGCATCGGTGGGGAAGCCAAGGAAGACGAAGCGGAGGGTGCTAGAAGAGAGCTTGCCCGCGGTGGTATCGCGGACAAGGGAGAGCGCGCCCCAGACCCGAAACGCCGATGCATCGCCAACCTCCCCCGTCCAACGCAGTGTAGGTGAGGTCTCTGACACACAGACACAGGGCCAGAGGTTGAGCTGATGCGCGGCGTATCGGACCCCAAACAGCCACAGAAAATTGGGAGCAGCCGCATGGATCATGAAGGTGCGAGTAACCTCCATGACCAAGCGAATGCGACGCTCAGCAATCCCATTCTGCTGTGGAGAGGCCAGAAGCGTGAACGACTGGGCGATGCCCTCCGTACGACAAATGTTCCAAAGGAGGCCGGATGAATACTCACCGCCTCTGTTAGAGTGCATTCGCAGGTCCGGGAGGTCCTGCTGAAACCGCTCGCTCAACTGGCGACGAACAGCGATGATTCAGTCGATCAAAACATTGCGGACATTCAACTTGCTCCGCAAGGGGAAGACCGTGGTGTAGCGCGTGTAGTCGTCAACAACCAGCAGAAAGTAGCGCTCTCGGTCCTGCCCACGGACGCAGGCTGGGCCCCACACGTCCATGTGGAGAGTCTGCAGAGGAGCAGTGGTCGGCGGAAACGAAAGTAGCGGCGTGCTACCGCCCTTCGACGTAGGGAAGGCACGGCGGTGCAAGTGAGCGCGGGAGCGGGGGCAGGGACCTGGGGAGGCCAGAGACAAGAAGATGAGAGTGCATGCCACGCAAGCGTGGCAAAGAGGGGTGACCAAGACGTTGGTGCCAGAGGACAGTCTGGTGCGTGAGTAGCCGGCACGAACAAGACGCAGCTAACTGGCCTGACGAAGCTACCTGACCCGACGCAGCTACCTGTGCGGACTTAGTGGTCAGTGTGTACAGGCAATACCCAGGGCTCCGAGTGAACGTGGCGAGGTGCTCGCCAGTGTGTGAGTCCATACAGGTCGCCACAAGCTCACCCCCAGGAGTAGTCACAGTGACAAACTGGTCATGGAGGACAGCATTACTTACCAAGTTCTTAGAGAATGAGGGGAGGTGGAAACCTGCGAGGGAGCCTGAGGGGGTTGCCGGACACGGGAGAACTGTGGAGGCACGTGCTACAACTGGGCCCCCAGAGGGGTCAGCCAGAGACACCGGGACAGGTGTAATCAACGGTATGACTGTCGTGCAGTCACGGAAGAAGCAACGAGTCGCGCCTGAGTCAAGCGTGAAGGAATGCAAAGCCTCTACAGAAACTGCACCTGTGCTACCAAGCTCACAGGCACCTAGACTAGTAGCCTCTGCACTACCAGAGACGCGTCGGTGAGAAACCCACTCGCGAGGCTGCTGCGTTGAGAGGGTCTCCTGCTGACGCTGCTGCTGCTGCTATCCATTACCTCCAGCACCATAATCTCCACCACCAGGACGGCCTCGTTGAATAACCCACTCACGAAGCTGCTGTGGCGAGAGAGTCTCCTGGCGATGGGACCGCCACTGCTGTCCAGTACCGCCAGCACGCTTGAAACCATAACCTCTACCACCAGGACGACCTCGCTGAATAACCCACTCGCGGAGCTACTGCAGCGATAGAGTCCTTGGCTGACACTGCTGCTGCTGCTGTACACCGCCAGACGCTGCTACGACTGTGATAGTGGCCATGACAGGCAGTGGAAATGAGTAGCAGCGGCGCAAGGGCGTCAGAAGCGACCGTTGTGGTTGCAGCTGTAGAAGTAGCGGTAGTCGCTGTAGTGGCAGGGCAGCGCACGGGCTACAAGGTAGGGCAGCGCGCAGGCTGTAGGGCAGGGCGGCGCGCGGGCTGCAGGGCGTACGGGCAGCAGGGCAGTGCAGCACGCGGGCTGCAGGGCAGGGCGGTGCGCGGGCTGCAGGGCAGGGCAATGTGCGGGCTGCAAAGCAGGGCGGCGCGCGGGATTTAGGGCAGGGCAGCGCGCGGGTTGCAGGGCAGGGCAGCGCGCGGGCTGCAGGGCAAGGTGGCGCGCGGACTGTAGGGCAGCAGGGCAGGGCGCGCGTAGGCAGCGCGCGTGCGGGCACGGCGCAAGCTGCGCGCGTGCGTGGCGAAGGTCGCGCGCGGCGAGCAGGGCAGCGCGCGGCGAGCAGGGCAGTACGGGCAGTAGCGCAGCACGCGCGGCAGCAGGGCAGCGCGGGGCAAGGTAGTGCGATAGCGCTGGGCAGGGCAGGGCAGCAGTGCGCGGCGAGTAGGGCAGCGCGTGACGGCAGCAGCTCCTGGGGCAGTAAATTCAGTTGGTGGGCCCTAACAGAGCGGTCCTACGGAGGGACCTGCTCTGATACTATGTCAAAATTAAAACATAGGAATCACATGTAGGGAAGAGTGAGTACAAGTACTAGGAATTACCTATGGTGTTGTTCTCCTTTGAGTATGCCCCACTAAAGCCTAGAGATAACAAATGCAATTTGACATGGCCAACACTGATGGTTGCAGCACTAGAGTGGGGCGCCGTGCCAACCAACATCCCTCAACGTAAAGTTGAGGGTGAATTTGGCAGGTAGTCCCCGCCACGCAGTGCTGGCATCGCGGGAATCTGAGATTCTTTGTAATTGCGGGCAAATCCACTTGGAACAGGTAAGAACCACTTTCAGTGTTAGTTTCGTTACAACGCTGTTGAATCAGTGTACTTGGGAAATAAAATCCCGAAAAATCATTGTTGCCTAAGGAAAAAATCATGAAAAAACAATGTCACTATAGATCTGTATTACAATAAGGATCCTTCGATATGATAAGTCTGCTAGAGTTGGTAGCTGAAGTCTTTGGTAGTGATGGGAACCTTGTGCATAGTGAATGTAGATGACAAGATTGATTAAAAGAGAAATTTTACACAATAAATAGATCTAGCTAGCCATGTACTATAATAGGTACATTCCCTTATTATAACTGTTTTGCAGGCATTTCTACAGTAACCCCGACTCTTGCTCTACTCATATTATCGAATCGCTGCGTGTAACTGCGTGGACAATTACGCCTATTGCCATTCTTCGCAGGTAACCGTTCGGTCCAGATGGTCAACAGTCGCGACAGTTTACTTGCGATTGTTCTTCTTGACGACTCCGCACAGGTCCGCGCAGTGCTGGAACTTCTGACGTGGCTGTTTTTTTGTAAGAAAGTCAGCTGCCATCTCGCCAGTTGTGCAGTAGGTGAGCTGGACCTTCCCTTGTCTATTTCATCCTTTACGAAGAAGTAACGTAAGGCGATGTGTTTCATGCGGGTGACGAAGCCGGGCTTGTTCGCGATCTTGATCGCGCTCTGGTTTTCGCACAATAACTTGAATGACCTATTTATCGCCATCTTCGTTTCCTGTAAGAGCTCCGTCAGGTAGAGACCTTCGCGAACTGCTGGACTTGCTACGATGAACTCGGCTTCTGCGGACGAAAGAGCAATGAGCTCCAGCTTCTGTGAGTTCCAAGAGATGGTTCCTGCAGGGTCGAGTTTGCGTACTTTGCGGCGGACAGATGAATCGTGTCGTCCTCAGCCACAAACATTTTTATGAATCTGTTTTCAAGGTCCAGTCACATTCCTCGTGACCTCCACCAGGTGTGATCTACAATGTCCAAATGTATAGAAACCAACATTTGCACTCACAAACATCATGAGAAATGTTGATCGGGTTAGAAAAAACATTCCCGCCTCCCATTTACAGTCTCATTTTCTGCCCGTGGCGACAACGTCTAGGTATGTGAAACGAGTGAACACATTCCAGTCCCATGCCCGCTTACGTGGTGCGACTGTAAAGAACATCCATTGTATCAATCCCTTTTCCATCCCGCCTTCACTCTACAAACCGCACTCACTACTGGAATAGTTAGGTGATGTTCGTTTATTTTCTAAGTGAAAAGAACGAGCCTTTATGGTGTATTTTTGTTCCTTTCGCGAGTGAGCTTCGTTAAGGCCGCAACAGCTGGTGATAACTACGATTGCACGAAAAGTGCCAATCCGTGGCTCTCTGCGGTTTTTCCGCTTTCGATCATTTGACAGTTGCCCGGATTTAACAAGATTTGCTGATGCGACTAGTCAGCGACCTGAGCGATGCTGCGACGCATACGGACAAATTTCGCACCCTTAGGAAGGAGTCCATTTGTGACCTAAACGGCACGATTTCGTTACAAGGAGTCGCAAGAATCCCCGTCCATTTTTGTGTGTTTGTGTGTGTTTTTTTTTTGTTCAGGTGTTGACGAGAATCTTGATTGAAGTGCGACACGGGGTGGATCTTGGTTTGCCTTCGCAAGCTTTGGGTCACTTTTGAGATGTAACAGAAACTGTATATTTGAGCTTATTGGAGAATGTCCACCTACCCTCCCCGACGTGGCATGTATGGGGGAAGCATCCACGGAAAGTCACGACGGTCTTTACACCAAATAGTTCGATTTAGACTTCCTAACGTTTGGATTGGCTGTAAAATTCGCTGAGTTCGCCTCGAAACAATGTGACAGTAGTGGGGAAACATTATCGTTTACAATCGTTTTTTTTTTTCACATCATGAAAATATC